TGGGGAGAACCCTCCCTGGCCTCTCCTGGTGCAGGCTCCACGCTGTCAGTGAGGCTCAGCCACGAAGATCTTCAGACAGACGGAGGAGGGGATCTGAGCTCAGTGTGAGCCTCCCCTGCTCCTGCCTACCCACCCCACCTGAGCGCTCTACTCACCACCCTGCTTGTCAGCACACCCAAGCTCCTGGGGGATTGGGGCTCCTAGAGCGGGCTGATCACCAGGACTCTGGGCAGTGGTCAGGAATTTGTCGTGCCCCTCGTTGTGGTCGCCCACAAGCCGCAACACCTGTCCCTGCAGCTCCAGCAGGTTCACCTGGAGGGAGGGGTGCTTAGCTGTCATGCCGGTGCTGGTGCCCAAGTTCACCCCCACCCCTACTCCCACCCCCACAGAGATGTTGCACACCCTAGTTGCATCTCCTTGTCCTGGGCCAGCCTGATGATGTCCTCCTCTCCCAGTGCCGCATTTTGGCACTGCCCCCTGGCTGATGTAGTTTCCTGTGGGAGGACACAGCTCAGAGGCTGGGGCCCCTCTGACGGCCCAGCAGCTCCCCCTGCCGTATCCTGGCCTCCCGCTCACTTATGGTGTCTGTTCCAAGAGGTGGATGAATTGAAGCTCTAGTTTCTCCACCGGCTCCTTCAGGTCCACCTTGTCCTCCATAAAGTTGCTCTAGAGTCAAAATAATGGGGTCACATCTCAAGAACAAGCTGCCTTGCCCCACTCACACCGTTCTTGGCCCATGCCAGGACCTACTCAGCTGCACCTTCTCCATGGCCCCCTGCAGGGCTCGGTGGGTCTCCCCACACACAGACTCACGCCCAGTCCCTGGGGTCCTCTGGGATGAAGCCACTGGGTGAGCCAGGGGCTGGCAGCACACCCTTTGCTCTTCCTGGGCATTGGCTCCAGCGAAGTTGAAAAATGCCACTTGAAGGCAAGAGGTGACTGTTCTTGTAGGGACATACACAGAACAACCGGGGCAGGGAGGTGGAGCGCAGCCCCTTCCCTTGGGGCTCAGGGTGTGCACCTGTTGGTCACAGGTGAAATGGTGTTTGACCACTGGCTCCTGGAAGGAGTGAAAGTCCACAGAAATCAGAATTCAGGGAAACCAAGAACATAAGGGGATCTGGGAGGGACCGCCGAGGAAGGTGACAAAGTAGAGGCAGGGAAAGTCAGGCTCACCTGCCCTCCCGGCTCTCCCAGTCCCCTGGGATGTTCTGCATGGGCCGAGGTGCCTCCTCCTCCTCACTGTCCAGATGTTCTCCTCCATCTCTTCTAGGGGGTGGCCAGAGGGGTCTCATCAGACAACCCAACAAGGGAAGTACTGGGGGCCCACCTCTGCCCCCACCCTCCCTGTGTAACCCTGAATCAGCCCATTCCCAGAGAGGAATGAGCTGTTCTTTATTTTTACTTTTAAGAACCAAGATCTTGCTATACTGCCCAGGCACAGTCCCACTACCGATTGGTGTGGGAGTCCTGACCTGCTCCCTTTCTGACCTGGGCCAGTTCTCCTGTCCTTAGGCAACCTGATGGCCTCCTGCTCCCAGGAGGTCACCATATTGATACCGAACATAGCACTGACACGTGGTCGGCATAATGACCAGCTGTCTTAAAGGTCTCTTCCAACTCCTCAATCCTATGCTGCTAACAGTCCCCCTTTCCTCCTGGGGCTCTCGCCTCTTCCTCCGAGTGTCTCCTGTACCTTCCCCAGGGAGAACCATGAGGCTCAACTGTGCTTTAGCTGCTGTTTCTGCTGGCTGGTAGCTTCCAGGTGCTCCTAAGAGGCCAGGAAAGAGGGTGAGAGGGCACGGAGGTTGCCAGGTTGTCCCTCTCAGGGCCCTGTCCTCAGCAACTCCCTCCCCTGGGTCTCCTGCAACTTTTGATGGGCCATCTTAGCCACTGCTTTGCCCTGAGTTCCTGCTGCTGCAGCTGGTCCAGGAGCTGGGTTTGCAGCAGTAACTGCCTGTGCAGCACCTCCTTCTCAGAGGTCAGCTGCTGATAAGTGGCCACCTGCTGCTGATAAGCAGGTACTGCTGCAGGTGACCCGGGTACTGGTCTCGCTGCTCTGAGCCTCTTGGCTCTTCAGCTCCACCTGCAGGAAGACCTTGGGCATGAGGGCATGTGGTGGCTAGCTTCCAGATTCCTGGCCCATTAATAGGGTAGTGAGGGCACTGTGTTGCTCTGTGGCCTGCCCAGGCCCCTGGTCCCTTGCTCCAGGCCTAATGCCTCCCTTGCCTGGAACCCCATGCCTCCCTCCCCAGCCTCAAATTTCAGGTCCTTCTTCCAACTATTTAAACTGTAAGCCACAGACTGGTCTGCCTAGCAGCGAGGGTGGGAGTTCCCTAGTTGTCCCTGGATTTGTAGTGCTGCCCTTTCCAGAGATTTGAGGAGGAGCCAGATATCCAAAAAGAGGGCATGGGTGGGGAATCAGTAATACAGTCTACTTCAACAAGAAAGTATAAAGTAGAGGCGGTGGCTTATGTGCTGTAATCCCAGCACTTTAGGAGGCCGAGGCAGGCGGATTACTTAAACTCAGGAATTTGAGACCAGACTGGGCAACATGGCAAAACCCCATCTCTACTAAGAATACAAAAAATTAGCTGGGTGTGGTGGCACATGCCTGTAGTCCCAGCTACTTAGGAGGTTGAGGTGAGAGGCTTGCTTGAGTCCAGGAAGTTGAGGCTGCAGTGAGCCGAGATCACCGTGCCACTGCACTCCAGCCTGGGTGACAGAGCGAGATCCTGTCTCGAAAAGAAAAAAAAAAAAAAAAAAAAGTTTAAAGTAGAAGCATCTCTATGCATGACTGAAGTCATGCTTTCCATATATTTTTTTCCAACTTGCCTTTTTTCTCTCTAAAATACTGTATTTTAAGCTTTTCCCTGCTATCAAGTACTCATAAGCATTATTTGAATGGTTGTATCAGAATCCATTATCTGGACTCATTGTCCAGATAATACTGGAGATACTGCCCTTTCTGCCACACTCAGTCACCCTTCTGACCTTGCTCTGTGTCCAGTTATCTACTAATATACATACTGATCATTTAGGACTTAAAGTTAAGAATAAATAGTTATCCCAGCTACTCAGGAGGCCGAGGCAGGAGAATGGCATGAACCCGGGAGGCGGAGCTTGCAGTGAGCCGAGATCGCACCACTGCACTCCAGCCTGGGTGACAGAGCAAGACTCTGTCTCA